CCGCAAAAAATTAAAAAGCTCTCCATACAATGCGACAACGAGCTACAGTGCATCCTGTGGCGATATGGCCATAGCTCCATCGTTCACTAGTGGAAAACCGCCGGACAACCTTCAAAAGACGTGTCTTTCAACTGCGCATCACCTCCAACAAACCACACTCCAAAACAATCCCCCAGCTAGAACAGATCACTGTTCATACAAATCGCCTGGGAGCTACTGAAATTTGCCAAGCGAGTTCTGGGCCAAGTAAAAATATTCCAAGCCATGGAAACTCTTCTCCATCACCAAACGCAGCTCCCCACCAAAATTCAAGCAATTCCACCAGGGGAATTGTCTTCTTCAACGAGTTGCGAAATGTCGGTGTAATAGAAATGTTTTCCCATGGAGTTCTAGGTGTCCAATTGAAAGAAGCAAGGTACCAAAATGCTCGCCTTGATAAGGAGAACATGCTAGCATCATCAACTTCATCTGGGTATCAACCAATTGCTCCAATTTTGCAATCATTGTGCCCAGGCAGTCTGTCTTCTCCATCTGTTCGACAAATGACACCATCTTTCCTGGGCCAATTTGGCCACAACAAGCAATTGCAAATGCTTCTACATCACCTAAGGAACAAGTCTCCAAATTTCCGTCTAATCAAACATGGAAATTGATCACCATGATCACCGGAAAAGCTAAGAACTTCACCATTTGGCCGGACATGGTCTTCCAGGGAACCAAATGGCTCAACACCAATGCCAAAAGATTACTACAGCTCAGGAGAGTGTTTTGAAATCTTCAAAACAAATTTTACATGGTCCAATCTCGTCCAATATTACAAAAGGTTCTCCTGTGCACTATAGCTACACAGACGTTCGACGAAATGTCAATGATCCCTTAAGCCCAATTCAACCTATTTCATTGAGTGGAGATAATCCTCTTGTTCATAAGGATGCTACATGACAAGTTTCACAACAATTCATTGGAGGAATTGATTCCTCTAAATTGTTAAAAGGCCCAGTTTTCACACAGTTGGTTGGAGATGGTGACACAGGTGATCAGCTGTCATCAGGCCAATTTGAGGTGATCTCTGATGCTACACTCAATGTTTCTACCATCCCTACTCCTCCAAACTACCGCCATAATGTCACAACCTCACACCCCAAAGTCCCAGTTCCACAAAGGGTCGATAATGTTGCAATTGCTGCTTCTCTGTGATCAAAGTCAAGCTGAACCTCCTGTTATAAAAGATGTTCCAACCACTAATGCTGATCACACTGAAACTCAACACCAGAACCCTCACCTTTTGACCTTAGGTAACAACCTTGCTCCTTCCTTTTTTCCTGTGCCAACACAGACCAATCCAAGTAACAAAACTCCCTCATATGATCAAAACCATAATAAAACAGTCCACAATTCCACTCTCAAGGTTTCTTCTAACTTTGAGAGACCTAACACCCCAAGGAAAAACCAAAAAAACCATACCAAACCTCAGGAGAAAATAGTGCAACCCCCTCCCCCAATCCAACCCAGTTACCACTATCATTCCTCAACCCAATGCCAACCAAAATAAAGACAAACAACCAGTAAATCCCCCTTCTCCACCTCCTACTGTCACTCACTCTTATGTAACAAGGCTCAGAGCTAGACATGAGGCTGAGAGGGAACCAATTTCATTTACCCCACCAAAGATAACCACCAAGCAAGGCCAACCTGCAGTAATATTCAAAAGGGAAGATTACATGGTGAGATTTGCAGATAGGTGCAAATTCACAATAGTAGGCAAGTTCTCCAATACTATGCCTAGAATGGAAGTCATTAGAAGAAGTTTCATTGCCCAAACTGAGCTTAAAGGAGGAGTCAAGATAGCTCATTTCAGTGCTAGGACTGTGTATATTGACTTGGATAATGAATATGACCATTCCACTGTGTGGGCCAAATAGTATATGTACATCCAAGGTTAAATGATGAAATTGGAAGCATGGTCTCCTGCATTCAAGCCAAATGAAGATTCACCCATTGTGCCAATATGGGTGGTTGTCCCAGAATTACCATGGCACTTATACTACATGGAAATAATCACACCACTACTATCACCTATTGGCAAAGCATTATACCTGGACTTGGCATCTTTCCAGAAAACAAGGAGGAGTGTGGCCAAGGTAAAGATTCAAATTGACCTCACCAAGGGAAGACCTCATCATGTCTGGCTTGGATATGATGAGGATCCGGATGAAAATGGGGATGGAGAATGGCTGGAGGTCCAATATGATAATGTGCCTAATTATTGCAATCACTGCAAGCATCTGGGCCATTCTGAATACACATGTGAAATCACACTGAAAGAAGAGGAAAAAAAGAAGAAGAAGCTGCTGAAACAGGTGATTCCCATGCCACCAATTAAAATAATCTCACAATAAAGAAGGAACAAGTGAGAATCAAAAGAAGGAACAAGGGGGAATGCCAAAAACAACTGCACAGGACCAAAGGAGAAGCCAAATGCTAGCAGAACATCAAAAAGCAGCAGAACACCAAAGCTCAGTAAAAGAAATTACAAAAGGAGACTGGCAAATCCAAATGAGAAAGAATTTTAAAGCCAATACCCAAAGCAAGAGGCAGCAACAAGTTTACATGTCGAAACAATCAAATACTCAACAACAGTAGGTTGCACCAAATGAGATTCAACAACAGGTCACACAATCATCACAACCATCAAGTATACCCCTTACCAATCCTCCAGCTCAACTGGAGAGGAGTCTAGATTCTGGTTCCCAGAATCAACCCATTCCCCCTATTCCCACCTCTATTTCTGTTTGTTGTGAAGTAACTGGAGGAAAGGAGAATTGTCATGAGACACCTATAGCCAGGCAGGAAGGGGTACCAAATGGGGAGGGGCTTCCTTATGTTTTGTATGAGTGTGCTAATGCACAATTGACTGACCGTAGGATTGACCAACCATCCCCTACTACCACAGTCTCCAATTCAGGCAAACAACAAGTCCAGCATTCTGATAGTGTGATAATTGAGGAGGATTCAGAATCCTTCATTTCTGAAGAAGATCCTTCTGCATAAATGAAAGCACTGGTCAAAGGAAAAGCCAAAGTTGCAGCTGACTTCCAAGTCAGTCTCAGAAAACAAAACACAAACCCAGTTAGAAAAGGAGGAAAGCTATAAGGAACAAAAATGCAGGAATCAGTATAAATGAACCACCTGATGACTCACAGTTTGTGAACCCTGCAATCCAGCAAAGATTCAGGCATGATCCCAATGCAACAGTAGAAGTATACAGGAGCTCAGTAATAGCTAATCCCTCCCCCTCCCAACCTTTGTTATACAATAAAGAACCAATATCAGATGGCAATGCATCAGAACCACCTACCAATGATGAAAACCTCAGTCCCAAAATAGACAAAGCCACTTCTATTCCTACCAGCACCCCAGAAAAAACCATCTCTTACATACTTTACAAATGGTCCTGGAGGAGTGTCCTCTCAACAGATATACTCCACAGCAAGATGAGTACAGATCAATTGAATCTGACGATAAAATAATTGGGGAACAAGATGTTGACAATGATTCCAGTGATGAAGATCTTGAAAAGGAACAACATTATGATCTCCTGATTGCTGTAGTGAATGGAAAGTCAAACCAGAAAAATGTTGCTTCTGCAACAGTCCCACCCAGAAAGAGCCCCTCACCAAGGCTAACCAGGAATAGAGCTACTAGAAATAGAAGTAGCAGTGTCCAACCAAAACACAACCACCTCCTTCCAATGATTAGTAAAATCATTTGGAATGCAAGAGGCATCAGGACCTCAGGAGCCATTGAAAGGCTCAAACTCCTGAAACAAATCCACAAACTTTCTTTCATTTCTGTCCTTGAACCTTTCCTAGACATCAACACCTTTAAAATCCAACTCTCAATGCATCAAGTTGATCCTAATGTCAATGATAAGATCTGGGTATTCTGGGATAAGGAATTCACTACCAAGGTTTTAGATCATGATGATCAACAATTGTCTTTGGAGATGAAGCATGTTGAAAATGGCAACTTGTTTCATCTAACAGTCATCTATGCCAAATGCAAACCAGTCCTCAGAAGGCCATTGTGGAAAGTTCTAAAGCAGAAAGCATCAACCTGCAGTGTTCCATGGTGTGTCATAGGAGATTTTAATGTCATTGCTTCTGTAGAAGAAATGATTGGTGGCATTTCATACCAGATGTCCAAGAGTCTTGATTTTCTAAGCATGATGGAGGATTGTGGCCTTGTGGACTTAGGTTTCTATGGTTCTAAAGTCACATGGTCTAATGGAAGGGGCAATGTTCTATTTTGTGGAAAAGGTTAGATAGGGGACTGGCCAATGATCGCTGGCTAGAAGCCTTTCCTGCTACCACAATTTCTTATTTAGCTTCAGCAGGATCTGATCACAACCCCCTACTCCTGGAACTTCATACAAGACAAGACAATGGCAAAAAATACTTCGAATTCCTCAATTGCTGGGTAGACAACAACAGCTTTCTCCCCCTGGTCTCTGAAAGCATGAAGAAAGAGGTTAGAGGTAATGCTATGTGGGTGTTTCACTAAAAAATGAAAGCACTAAGCCATGCTCTAAGTCTTTGGTCTAGACAACAATATGCGGATATCTTCCAAAAAGCTAAAGAATTGGAACAAAAGGTGAAGAATGCAGAAATGATCTAGGCCCAGACAAACAATGACAATGACAGAGCAACTCTCAATGAGCTTAAGGCTCAATATGTTAGACATATGAAGGTTGAGCAGGATGTTCTGAAACAGAAAGCACAACTACAATGGTTCAAAGAAGGGGATGCCAATTCTACATACTTCCACAGTTTAATAAGAGGAAGAAGAAGGAAATTGTACATCCACAAAATCAAAAATGAGGAAGGATAATGGTTCCAAAGAGATGAAAATATAGGGAAGGCTGCCAATGATTACTTTCAGAACCTCTTCACAGACCCTGGCTCGATTATAGAGAAGACTTGCTATCCATTATTCCGACCATGATATCTAGTGATGACAATGATACACTCACCAAGGATCTATCAATGACAGAGCTCAAGGAAATAGCATTCTCCATGAACCCTACTAGTGCAGCAGGACCTAATGGCATGAATGGGAAGTTCTATCAAGCCTGCTGGGAAGTGATCAAGGAAAATTTACTCAAAGTTGTTTTGTTATTCTTTATAGGCAATCCAATGCCCAGATATATGACCAATGCATGCCTTGCTCTCTTTCCTAAGGTTGAGTTCACTAACAGTCTCACAGAATTCAGGCCAACCAGTCTCAGCAACTTCATAAACAAGATTATCTCTAATGTTATTTGTTCAAGGCTTGCTCCCATCCTCCCAAAGATAATCTCTGCAAACCAATCTGGCTTTGTAAAGGGCGGGAACATCTTTTAAAATATCATGTTGGCACAAGAAATAGTGCATGGTATCAAGAAGCCAACTGTGGGGTCTAATGTGGTCATCAAGCTTGACATGACCAAAGCCTATGACAGAGTATCCTGGAGTTTCACCTGCATCATGCTTAGGAGAATGGGATTCAGTGAAATGATCATTGAGATGATCTGGAGAACAATGTCCAACAACCGGTATCAGTCATTGTTAATGGCACTAAATGTGGATTCTTTCAGTCTACAAGAGGCCTTAAACAGGGTGAACCACTTTCCCCATCCTTATTCATCATATGTGCTGAACTATTGTCTAGAATGCTCAACATTCTGAACCATGATCAGTTGTTTCAGGGATTTTATATAGAGAAGAGAGGTCCTCAAATCAACCACCTGAGCTTTGCAGATGATATCATCATCTTCACCTCTGGAGGAAGAACTTCCCTGAGAAAAATCATGTGGATCCTTAGAAATTATGAGAAGACATCTGGCCAACTCATATACAAACACAAGAGTCAATTCATGAATACTTCCTGTGCCCTCCCAAGTGCTATCAGAAGAATTCAAGAAGTGACAAGCTTTTCTAGAAGGGATTCACCACTCACATACCTGGGCTGCCCTCTATATACTAGTAGGAGTAGAATTATGCACTTCAATGGTCTCATTTCCAAGGTGATAGGCAGAATAAAAGGCTGGCATGGTAAGATGTTATCCTATGGTGGCAGGGCAACCTTGATCTAATATGTCCTTCAATCCTTACCAATCTATCTTCTTTCAGCAGTATCCCCTCCAAAGACTGTTGTGAAGCAAATTGAAAGGTTGACAACTAGCTTCTTCTGGGGAATGGATAAGGACAAACACAAGTATCACTGGGCATCATGGTCTAAGCTATCCTTCCCTCTCAATGAAGGTGGTGTGGGTTTCAGAACCATTCATGATACATGTAAAGCCATAGAACTAAAGCAGTGGTGGAATTTCAGAACAGCAAACTCTCTTTGGAGTTCATTCTTGAAGGCAAAGTACTGTCAAAGATCGAATCCCATATCTAAGAAATAGGACTCAGGCTAATCACAAGCATGGAAAAGATTAATGTTCAATAAGAACGAAGCAGAAAAAATAATTGAATGGAGACTCTATAATGGGAAATGCAGCTTTTGGTGGGGCCACTGGCTTGGCTCTGGACCATTGGCATATAGCATAACAGAAGGGGGCAGACCAGGCAACACATCAGTGTCTTACTTCTGGAATGAAAGCTAATGGGACCTTCAAAAGCTCAATATAGCTTCCTCAGCACACAAAATTCCAGAGATCATGCTGACAACCATCCATTTCAACCTTAACCTTCCTGATAAACCCATCCGGACACCTACTAAGGGCAATTAAGGGCAATTTCAATTGTGCTTCTGCATGGGATCTCATCAGAACGGAAAACCCCCCCAACATCACCAACAGAATGACTTGGCACGGGAAGATCCCTTTCAAGTGGTCATTCTGCTTGTGGAGAGCACTTAGAAACAAACTCCCAACAGATGATAGAGTGATGATTTTCAGCAATCCAACAATTACCAGGTGTGTATGTTGTTTTATGCATGCTCTAGAACAGTTGACCACCTCTTCAGCTCTGGGAACATTGCAGGAATCATATAGAAGAAATATGGAGGCTATGTAGGCATTCAAACTGAAAACCTGTCTCTGAGGCTGCTTCTTATGAAATGGTGGATGTTGAAGACTTACAACTCTATGTAAAAGCTCTTCTTAGATACCCTCCCTATTATCATTTCTTGGAACTTGTGGAATACCAGATGCAGTGCAAAGTATAGGGCAAAAACCACCTCCCTGACGAGAGTCCTCTACCCTATCAACTCTGACATCAACTTACTCCTAAGATCAAATTTTCCTGATCTCCAATGGCCTTTCAACTGGGGGGAACTCTATGCCTTTATTGAAAATCTTTAGTATCACACCACCTCAACTCAAGTGATTTGGAACAAACCAGACAATGGTTTTGTTAAGATCAATTCTGATGAGAGTGCAATGACCAATCCTGGAAAGATTGGAGGGGGTGTCATCATCAAAAACCACCATGGTCAATTTATCCATGCAATTGCATCTCCCTTAGGGAAAGGTTCCAGTAATTTGGCTGAAACTGAAGCAACTTCATTAAGCATCAACTGGTGCATTAAGAATGGATTCACCAAAGTCCGCCTTGAAGCTGATTCTGCATTGTTAAGCCACTGGTTGACAATTGATGCAGTACCGCCTTGGACTCTGAACATGCCCATCCAAAAGCTTAGGCAACTCTGTCAACAATGTGAAACTATTACATACACTCATGCCAATAGAGAAGCCAACACTCCAGCTGACTCACTTTCCAAAATTAGCCACACCCTTCCAAACATCACCCACTACACCAATATGAATGAGCTACCCTCTCACATTAGAGGCCAGATTCACCTAGACAAAATGGCCACCCCAGCTTTCAGGTATAAACTGACCAAGAAGCTTATAAACCCTTCAGTGGCATCCCCATCCTCCTCACATGGTTATGGTTAACATATTCTTTAAAAAGGGGAGCAGGCATAATGGTCCAAGCAATTCATCCATTATGTGGAAATGTGTAATCATGGGATTTTCACTAACTCATTTTGTTCTGTTGCAGGTTGTCTTCTCGTATGAACTACCCAGTTATTTGTTGTTGTTTTAGGGTGTGGTATTAGCCTATGGGCTCATCCTCCTAGAATCAAAACAAAGGACTGATGTAGGTTGTAAAGAGCAGAAAGTCCACCCTCTAAGGCATGCAATGGAATTTCATAGTAGCCCCCTCACTTCACCAATCATAAAAGCACACAACAGCACCACCTTCTGTGTTTCCAAACACAAGAACTCACAAAAACACTCTCATAAACAATCATACACTCACATACATCAATCAATAAACACCAACCTTCATTCAAAATGAATCAGTATATACAAGGGCCTGATTGCAAACAAACAAGAACCTCATGATAACAATAGATCCAAAAAACTGGGCAGAAATGCCAAAATTTTCTTAACCATGTTTGCAATTTTGCAGGTTCCTATTGTTCCTTCTTGATTTGCCAATTGACATATTTTCAGAGTGTGGTATTAGCATCTATGATGCTAATTCCTATGGAAATACACCAATTGGCTAAAGCACAACATTAATGGAATATGGCTAACAGTCGTTCAATGATAGAAATCCCCCAAAAAAAACCAAAAAGAAAGCACCAATTTCAGCAGTAAACATCAACAAATCAGCTGAACAATCCTTTCCCTCACCTTAATGGTACAGCTTTCCCACAGTATGCAAGAACCCCTCTCAAGCTAACCGTGCACTACATCACAGAAGGGCTACATGCATATGCAACAGAGCTGCCTCTGCATCTGTCTCTGCTGCAGCTTCTGAACTCCCTCCAAACCACAGAAATAAACATAAAAATGCAGTCAACACAAGAACCTAGAAACAGTTGCTTATCTAAAAGCAGAGCTGCCACCACTTCCCCCACATCCCCTGAACCCATACTCACTTCCAGAACACACAAGAACGTAGAAACTGAGCCCCCTTTCACAAACATGTTTGCTAATTGTTGCATGTACCAGGGATAAGCTCAAACTACTGGTGCAACAATTAGGAGTGTGATAGTTTATATAAGTCCACCAAACTATAGAGTACCAGGTCCTCTATGAGTGTCCACTGAGAACGTTAATGAAACAGTAAGTACATAAGACAGGGAGTTTTACGTGGAAAAACCCCTGCTCAAGGGGATAAAAAACCACGACCTACACCGGTAGGATTTCAACTTCACTATGAGCAACTTTTAGATTACAACCTATGCCATATTGGAATTAAACTCCTAATCCCTCACTAACTCGTAATACACCTATTACAAGCCATTTTGCAATACGCCTATTACAAAGACTTCAACTCATGACTATCTCTTGTCACGACACAAACACAGAGGGTTTATTGTTTTACAAAGGGGGTCCTAAGCAACGCTTCTAGCTAAGCAAATTAGGAATTACAATGAAGAACAATTACAAAGTTACAACTCAACTAAGGATAAAAAATACTAGATTTAGGAACTGGTCCGTAGTAGCGTTAAACTTTGTTCTTGAGGCACTTGAGAATTGAATACACGAATCTCAGAAGGCTTGAATGCTTGGAGTGAATTCTGAAGTGTTCAAGTGATGTTTTGTTGTAATACTCTTGTTAATACACCTTTGATGACATCACTTGAATAATGTAAGCACTTGGATGGTCAAAAGACAAGTGACTACAGAACTGTGTTGCACTGTTTCTGTGTCAGTCACTTTCTAGCTGTACATAGTTGACTTTCGTACTGCTGTCAGGGAAACACAAGGGATCAGGTCCCTGTGTTGGTTCTCTATCTTCTAAAGTTGCAGCAGTTAACAATAGATGGAGTCCGTTGATTATCAATGTGTACCAAGTGTGTCAAGTTCCCCATCTGGTTCTTTGATAATAAGTTTGTTAGATCATCAAAACATAAAGCTAAGACATTGAAAACCCATCAATTTCCCCTTTTTGATGATGACAAACTTAGACATTGATAACAGATCTTTAGAACAGAAATAACCAGATTAACCAACAGGAACTTCACAAGTTCCCCCTTAGTTTAAGTTTCGCCCTTAATTAGATCCCTGTTTCAATTATACTTTCCCGTTTTGGCATCATTAAAAATACACAAGCAGGCAATCAGCATAAAGAAGTCTAACCTAGCTAACTCATGCGACATATGTGCACACAACATGATAGAAAAGAGAAACAGAGAACATAACCATTTAGATAGCAAAAGAGGATAGTTTTTATAGATAAAACATATGCCTTTGCTATACAACAAAGGCAAAGATTGGACTGTTGTCATTGGGAGCAGTACCGGTACATCCCATCCACATCAAAACAAAGGTAAACAAAAACAACTGCCAAGTCATTAAAACAAGAAAGGAAAATCCAGAAACTGGTCACTGAAATGGGTTGCTTAGGGGGCACTAGGAGTAGAAGTCTTGGAAGTTGCAGCAAGGGTTTGGAGAACAAGATCTATTCAGGCGTTCACCGACTTTTGCTCGAAGAGCAGTTGCTCTTTCAGGTTCTCCACTTGTGCCCTGAGATCAGCATTTTCTTTTGTCAAACGAGCTATCTCCTCATTTGGGGCCCCTTGGGCCTGTTGACCTTCCAGGATAGCTTTCCTCGCCTTCAATCTTCGAATCACCTCAGTTGCGTTGTTTTGAGCATTGATGAGCTAAGAGATTGTCGATGTAATACCTACCCCCCCCCCCCCCAATTCTTCTCGATGCACTCACATTCTTCCAAAGTTGTGTGATAGAAGGTCTGCTTCTTGGTCCCTACTTTGCACTGTCCCAGTGGCACTTTGAAGAACTTAAACACGTGCGTAAGGAGGAACCTATACGGAAGACCATGATTGCCATCCTTGAAAGTGGCTACCTTCTGAATGTTCTCAATCATGATAGCAGGCAGATTCACAGCTGAAAATCCATCTAGTGCCTCCATTAGATACAGGTCTGATTTTGAAGCCATGGACCTCCTCTCAGCACGGGGTAGGAGAACTTTGTTTACTAGCTCAAACAACAACTGATAAACAGGCAACAAGGCTTTCTTGTGAACCCGTTCCCCCTGCTGGTTTGCTCCTTCCTTTACAATTGTATTTCTGAATTTTGCACCACACACATCCTTTACAGAAGACACGCCAACAGTAGGAACTTTAAGAATATCCCCAAGTAGAGCCACATCAAACACGATATCCACCCCATTCACTAAGGCACAAATGTGGTCGGTATCAACGGGAAAGAGGTAAGCATAGAAGCTTTGAACCTCATCCTCATACACTTTGGGTGCATCTAGTTGGACAGATGCCCCCACCGTTGAAACTCAACCATCTCAATTACTTGTCGCATGCCAGCCATTTCAGAGATTGCTGGGTCAAAAGTGTGACCGATCAAGACCTTTTGGTGCCTCAAACGTTCTGAAGCAGAACTAGTTTCACTTCTCACCCTCTTGT